TTAATACCAGTGAGACTACATTAAACTAAGGCTTTTTTTTACAAAGAAAAAAGATGCCATCAGAAATTTCTCATAGTAGAAAAAAAATTGTGCCGTACTTATTCGAGGCATAATTTGTATTCGCATTGATTTTATTGAGAGAAATAAAGTCTTTTTGTAATAATGTTATACCTTCACGTTTGATGTATTGATTCTCTAACGTTTGGGATATATCAGAAACTCCACACATGTCTAAAAGCATCGATAAAGAAAAGGTTGATAAATGTATATAACATTCCATGTTTGATTGCTGAAAATCTGTTCAGGATATGTAGCACATGTGTATCTTAAATTGAAAAAAAAGTTGGTTAGACATCAAAAATAAATAATAAATAAATAAGAAATAAATGAATTGACAAATGGAATAAATATGCTTATCGTTGGATTACGTTCGTCATGTGGTCACGTGAAATATTGAAATGATCAGAAAAAATGATTAATGACTATAGCATGAAAGAGTAATATATAAAGTAGTATAGTATGAAACATAAAAGAAGTAGCGTAGAACAACTTTAAGTTCTTATACTCATACGTATATTTAAAAATCATACCTATCAAACTTATAAGTAGGAAAGATGACCATACCTATAAGTATAGCAAGTATGAAGACGGTCATACTTATAAGTATACCTGTGCGACAAAAATGTGAAGCGAATATTTCACGTGATATAAGTGCTGGGTTTGGGATAATCTTAGATGATCAGAACTAAGATCAGATGCATAATATAGCGTGATGGGTAAATCAATGATTAATTAAAAATAAAAAAGTATAAGGTAGCAAAGTGAAGCATAAAAAATTAATATAAAGAATGGCATAAATGATGTAATTAGTATATAATATATGAGTAAAAAAAAAAAGATGCAATTAGTATATAATACTATAATATAAGAGTAAAAAAAAAATGAATAACTTTTGATACGATGTATATATAATTAATTTTAAGAGCTATATATTCATTTAAAAAAACTATATTTCAAACGAAGGTTCTCTTGAATTGGATTTACAATAAAGAACCTGTTAGTGTCTAACCCCGCAATATTATAAATAATGTATAATTGTATATCAAACACTTCAGCATAAAATTTAATATGCACTGTAATATTTTTGCTTAATAATGCCGATATATTTTGAATAATCGTATGATAGTGTATGTGTGCACGTTGTACGTAAGATTTTTTTTTTCTTTTAAATAATTAAATGCTATCAATGTAAATCGCATATTTTTGTTCATGTTTACTTTCTAAAAATGGATAATCTTTACTTTCAAGCTATCAATGATCCTGATCTTCATATTAGCGATGATCCTGACTTTCAGATTATTGATGGGGTTGAAACAATTTACAAAGAAGATCTAGAATCCTTTGAAAATAAAAGTGTATTAATTTCTTCTAATGATAAACTTCAAGAGATTAATAATAATATTGCAAGCAATTTAAATGAAGATACAATAACCTATTTTACTAAAGAATTAGCATTGAAGGTTATTTATCATACATTAACACCTATAGAATATCCTGAAACAAGTCCAGAGGGTGTTGCTTATGTATATAATGTTGAAGGTTGGGAAGAACCATTAGCCGCATTCAAAAATATTAGTAAATTTTAAATTTTATATATTTTATTATAATTAGATTTTATTTAATATATTTTATTTTTAGATTCAATATTCAATTGGAAAGCCCGGTGGTAAATATAAGGTTATGTGTCCATATCTTGGTGTCAAAGTAAAACATGAAATGCGAACTTGTCAGGGTTCAAAACTTTGTGAATTTGCTGCATATGAATTATATAATTAAACACATCAATGTGTTGATATTAATTCTGATCTTATGATGCGAATAACTGAAGACATTTCATCCAGTAATATGGATAATAATACTTTTGAGTAAGTAATAAATTTTGAAAGTTTTATGATACTATAATATATTAATTAAATATTTTAGACTTTATCTCGCTGCTCTCAAAACACCCTGCAAGTTTCAAAAAAACAAACAATTATGTAAAGGCAAACCTGTTTTACATCACTTATCACATCAAGATAATTCTAAATCTACCTATTTTATTGGATATACCAATTGGAAATTTGGAGAAAAATGTCATCATTTTATGTATATTCCTTCTAATATTAATATTGAGCTTTTGCGCAAATTATTTGATGGCACTTATGAGGTAAATAATTAATTTTAATTTAATTAATTAATATATCTATTGCTATATAATTTAGGTAATTTTAATTATATGTATACTTATCGTTATATAGTCTAACTATATTGGTAATAGATCTACAAATGAATATTACATTGTATACTCAAATTCTGTAAAAAAAAAAATATTGTCGTAAGTATTATAATATATAATAAAAATAATTATTATTATAAAATTTTAATTTAGTATTCTAATATTTTATATTATATTATTAGCTTATCCTCATCAATCAGGAAGCAAAATTTGTCATAGTCATATTAAAAAAAAATTATGTGAAGTTGAATTCTATAAAATTATACCATTAGATCTTAAAGCATGTCCATTTGTAATTCTTATATGTAAAGGATTACATACACATCCACCACCCCCTCCTACACGAACTCCAGATAATATTAAACAAAGGTTACAAACACTTGTTAAACAAGCAAATGAAGATTTATTAGATGTAACTTCTACTCATATTATAACAGGTAAATTTAAAATAAATTTTATTTAATATTATATACATATTTATAATATATACAATATTTTTATTTAATTATATTTTAGGCAATTTGATCAAGACCTATTTTGGTGTTGATAATTTATGTGAAGTTCATGCTTCGCTTAATGATATGAATAAGTTACGATATTGTGTAAACAAAATTCAAAAAGAAAAACATCCATTCGGTCAAGATTTATTAGGAGTTGTATACAATTTTTCATGTAATATTGATGACTTTCAGGATTATGTTCAACGATTAAGTAAGTATATATTAAAATATAATTTTTAAAATTTAATATTTACTTATTTTATTTTATTTATTTAGTTTAGATTTTTTTAATGATGGACATATAATGGTTATTTGTACTACTCAAGTTCAAATACAAAAATAGATTAAATGTGATTATTTTGAAATCGATCTATCATTTAAAAGAGTTACTGGTGAAATTAATGAATTTGAAATAAATTATTACGATAAACAGTATAATACAAGCAAGTATTTTTTTTATATTATATAGTATAGTGTTAATTTTTCAGTTAAAATTTGCTATAAAGATACTGCATACTTTGGAAACTTTTTTGTATGGCAAATAAAGGCACGATTTACAAAATGTTGATTTTTTCTATGCGGCATTTGTATATTTATTTAAAAGAAAATGTGTGCAAATTTTATTTTTGTACGCTATGCACAGTCTGCATAGTAAAAAATAATTACTGATAATATGCATATATTAATTATAATTTATTTACATATTAGTTTTAACTTTTGCTCGAATTTTTACAAATCAAGCAACTACTATTGCATATCAACACATGTTTAATGCATTATTTGATCTTGTTAAGCAATTTACTGGTGAATCAGCAAAATTTCAGCATATTCACGGAAATGGATGGGCTTGTATTATCAGTGATCTTGATATAGCACAACTTACTAGATTAGGTGAAACTTTAGTTTTAATTGATAATTCTTTTACTTGAGAAGAGCATTTAATCCATATTTTTAAATCTTGTCAAGTTCATTATAAACGGTAATTAACAATAGTAATTAAATTATATTTATTAAACTTATTAATATCAATATTTTTTATATAGAAAACTACATGAAAAAAGATTTGAAATTGATATTAAAACTAAAATGGAATTATTATTAACTGCAAAGCCCGAAGAAGTGGAATTAATATTTGATGAATTATTAGCATTAGATAATAATCTTACGGGTAAGTTTTATAAAATTATTATTAAATATATTATTTTTAAATAAATTAAATCAATAATTATTATTAAATAAAATAGATTGGGTTCAATATTATAAACAACCTTATATAATCGTATCACTCAACCCAAACATATTGTGATGACCAAAAAGGACTGCGACTCGGTCACTCCACAATCCAAAAACTCGTGTAACCTGGGTAAGTACCCTTTCGAAAGAGGTGTTTTAGATTTGGCTGGTGGTGATTTAAGGCTTCGGTTACTTCTCTCGTTGACTCTAGGTCACGTGGAAAAGAATAGAATGAACGGCAACTTATAGCTTTTTTAGGGTTCAAAGAGTGTATTTAGCGCAATAATATTTATGTAATTTTATGGGCAATTTATTTAATAAACTTGGGACTTATTTATTTTGAGACCAATGGAACATAATTTTCCTTGGGGCGAGAACGCCTTTATTTATAATAAAGTTTTACTTAGTAACGAAATAATGATTATATCCCTTATATCCATTATATCAATTAAATTGAGCATAACTAATAAAACCATTAAATTGATTATAACCGTGATATCTCCTATAACTAATAAAACTATTATCTCTATTAAATCGATTATATTTATTATCTTCGCTATATTAATTATCCGGGGTATATCTAATTTCTTCGTTATATCCAATATTTCGCCGGCAACTCCTTTTTCGGTAAGAGATCGTCATAATCAGGTTAACGTGAGTTGGCGCGGCGTCTTTTAGGTCACGTTTTCCCGACCTCACAATACTATCAGACTGTAAGGGTTGGACCTATTGTATAAAATATATGCGCACAATTGTTCATGAGCACATATTTTTAAAATTTTTACATATTTTTAGCTATAAATTGGTTAGCTGTCAGGCATATCGACATCTGATATTATGCTGATCTCTCTCAGAAATGTTAAAATTTGACCGCATGAATGCTTAGTTTTAAGATGCAAAATTTATAAAAGTCCTCTTAATTTTGCTTGTATGTATTTTTATCTAATACAAATTATATTTCAAATGTTTTCTGAGTCAGTCTTGTATAGGAAATTTTTAAAATTATAAATGAGTGCTTTCAATGGCGGACTTAATAATTTGTTTATTCATCCTGATACTATGATAAATTACATATTATTATTTTATTTTTATTTTTTTTAATTTTAAAGATATAAATTACATATTATTTCATTATTATCTATCAATATCATTGATCCTTAAAAGATTTACGCAAAAGAAGATAACCACAATGTAAGCTACTAAGGTAGGAATTATTTAAACAACCTCCCCATCCTCCATAAATGCACGTTGTTGGGGAAGGCATTTATAGAATATGCATTTCGGAGCTAGATCTACTTATAATACAAATAGATTATTATGAATGTACATAATTAAAATCTATTTTTAGAATTGCGGGCTTTCCATAAATGACATTCATATCACTTGGCCTAGGTTAGGGTTAGTATAGGGTTAGTTTGGGTTAGGGTAGGGATTAGTTTAGGCCAGTTTTGTTTAGTTCTGGTAAACAAATGACATGATATGTTTATCATGTGATCGTTGATCACTGGGTTGTGTTCTTTAAGTGTCCCCAGCCTCCATAAATGCACGAAGGCATTTATAGAACATGCATTTCGGGGCGAGATCTACTTATAATACATGAACGACGCTACTTAAGAGAAACCCTGCAATTTAAAACTAGATTATTATGAATGTACATAATTAAAATCTATTTTTAGAATTGCGGGCTTTCCATAAATACATTCGTATGAGCTGATCAGAATGAGATTGCTGTGCGATGCTGTCATACTAAAATATTGTTAGTCGTAATTGTTTTAAGCAATGTTCGTACGTACGTACATACGTGATATTTCGACTTTATGTATAGTCGAAATGTCTAAATTAAATTTATAATGTTCATAATTAAATTCCATTTTTAGAATCGCGGGCTTTCCATTAGTGACTCATATGAGCTGATCAGGGAATGAGATTGCTGTGCGACGCAAAATATTGTTAGTCGAAATTATTTTACTCGTTCATCATCAGAAAATCATGGGGTCATATCTTTTTGCAAAGCGCTATAATACGTAATATTTCGACTTTCTATATTTACCCTATAAAAAAAGTCGATCCGTGTTTTATATTCCTGTTATTTCCGTAAACATTGCATAGAATTTATAATCATAAATCATGGAGATTGTTCTAATTGTCTAGATTTTGTCGATCATGTTGCAGATTCACGGGAGATTTCACAAAAAATATGAAAAAATTATGGAAATATTCGGATAAAAATTTTTACAGGGTTAGCGTGACAAATTCTAAATTAATGTAAATAGTACCAAAATGTCTATATAGTTTAGAAATGTCTAAATTAGATTTATATAAAATTTGAGTTAAAAATGGTTTATTTTGCATTAAAATAAGATCTCAATAAATTAGAATCTATTTAAGCTGATTCTAATTACACTTAGGTTTAAATAAAATTTTAAATCAAACTACTGTATAACGTTCGTGGGAGTTATTTTGAAATTTGGATCCTTTAAAAATAACTTACATGGCCTCAAATTAGCCCCGAATTAACACACATCCTAATGTACGTAGCACAATTTACTACAGTTGAGCTGATACTCCATATGCGCACTCTCTATAAATGCACTTTTCTAATAGTGATAAATGTACATAATTTGATCGGTCTAATGTATGTAAATTATTATCTATAAATAAACATTTATAGGGTGCTGGTCAAAATCCTGACAAAAAAAATCCCAACAGTAAAAATCCCGACAACAAAAAATTATTAAGTTCATTTAAGTTAGGGTAGGGGTAGGTGAGTATGTAGGTTAGGGTTAGGGTGTGTTCTCAGATTAAGGTTAGGGTTTAAGCGATTATATAGTAAAATTGCTCAAATGACCACTTTTTTGATTGTCGGGATTATGGCCTGTCGGAATTTTGACCCAAACCTATTTTATAAATGCACTTTTATCCATAACGCGCATTTATGGATGGTTAACTGCATTGAATTTAGAAAATGTTCTCTTATTTCGAAATAACGCACATAGACACATTCAAAATAACGCGCAGGTCAATTAATTAGCGCGTTGGTGAGTGCTTATATGGTAAGCAAAGAATTTTGAATCAAAATTGATTCTAAATCTATTTAATAGAATTTTTAAATTTTAAACGGTTAAGACGATAATTATAGTTGAAAATTCATATCAAACATTGTATATTAATGGCTAAAGTTTGAATTAACGGAACAATATATCGTGTATAAATAAAAAAGGTTACATCTAACATGATAATTATACACCTACTAACAGCTAATAAAATGCTATGTGGTGCCCAAGTAAATGGAAAATGATCATTAGGGAAATAAGCATATAAAGGATATTTATTATTTTAATAAATATACCTATATTTATGTGTATTACGTTACACTGGGTGTCCAGTGTACTATGTAAATCAAGTCATATAAAAATCGAATATATAAATTTTTTCGTGTAACGAATGCGTTGATCTATAGTAAATTACTATAAATTTTAACGAAAATTATTAATA